CTTTTGACCTTAACCTTGGAGTTTGACCTACTTTTGAAAAACTTTAAACTTGGCCATTACTTTTGAATGGTTGGCTCAAGGGTTTTCAAGGAAATCTTTTGACCTTGCCTTTGGAGTTTAACTCTTTAACCTTTGCCATGAGCTGCTATACGGGGCATCAGTGTTTCACAAACACATCTTGTTTACAAAATGATTATTGTTAATTGGTTTTGAGGTCAATATGGTGATTTAAACATATGAGGAATACAATATTCACCGAGCCCTTCGGGCACCGAGGGTGGTTATATCATCATTTTGATATTGACTGAAAAAAACTCCAGCAATATTTTTTTTACGTATTTGATTCAATGATTAAAAGATACAAACTCATTTTAAGCAAACCATGCCATCTTTCTTGTTTACATTTGCTGAAGACCTATCCAAACCCAGTGAGAGAAGCAGGTTAAAATAAACATAACCAGCTGTATTAGTTTGGAATTTCTTAATTTATGTTTGGTGCGATGTAGAAAAAAAAATATCCTGCACGTAGAATTGATTTGAAAGGGGGCGTTACAAGAAAAAAAAAGACAACTTACATGAAAACAAGAGGAGAATTCTCCAAACTCATATCTTATTTCGGGGAATGGGGTGGATCGGTTAGAGTCCATTAATATAGGGAGATGTTTTTTTTACTATGCTGTATCAAAAAGTGGGGAGGAGGAAGGAAGCAACCAAACTTTTAATTAACATTTTCAAACTAAATTAAAAGTTAAAAAAAATACGCACAGAAAAAAAGGGGACCCCCAGCCTGATTCTATGTGCCTGAATGTTATGTTCACCAGTTCCATTAATGTAGGAGGATTTTTTTACAATACTGTATCAAAAAAGGGGGCAACCAGAGATTCAATGGACATTTAAAAGCTAAATTTATAGTAAAAATTTACATTCAGAAAAGAGTGGGGCGGGGGGAGCACCCCTTCACTCCCCATATTCTATGTGCCTGAAATTTTGTTTGACCTGAGTGGAAGTTGAGTGCAGATGAAATTAATAACTTTTCAAAACTGACTGTATCAGTTTGGAAGTTCTCAATCTATTTTTAGTCCAATGTAGAAAAAATAGATCCCAATGTACACCTGGAAGGTCGAGTGCAGGTAAACATAACGTAGTATTTTTTTTTCTGCAATGTTGGATCTCAGCCAATCAGAGAGCTAGGAATAATTCAGTGATATAATTTACTGTAATATTGACCGGGTATAACTCTTCTGTAACTTTTAAATACATAAAGTTTGTGTCTCCAGAGAACCTTTGCATTTAAGAATGTGTGTAACGCTCCTCATGTTCCTGGTTTTGGTGAAGGAATAGGAGGTCATGGTTCATAAGAAAAAATATTACTCATACTGAGACTGTGAATAAAAATTTAGCCAAAACGAATTAAAGTGCTGGGACGACTCAATACACCCAATCAGTTATCCTCTTCTTTGAATTGGGTGACCGCAAGCTAGCAAGTTCTTGATAAGCAACAGTATACCTGCAGGGATTACGGAGGTACACTGTACTCATCTTGCCAAGTGGACTGTAAACTAAATACCAAACGATTAAAGAACAATAAAGCAGATGCATTTTCAGCATATAGTCTAGCAAACTGGAATGTCAGAGCAATGGTGTTAGACCTCTCTGACTGTCTATTTGTTCGCGTTGCGCAGTGGTTGGAGCGTTCGCTCTAGAATCGCGGGTTCGAATCCACTGCGGACATGGAGATCGGTCCTTCGGATGAGACCGTATAAACCGAGATTCCGTGTCGCAGTAGGTGCTGACACGAAAAAGATCCCTCACTCTCAATGGCTCTCAGTGCTGAGTAAAGATCTAAATTTGCAGCTCTCCGCCGGCAAGTGGTGCCATCTCAATATGAGTGAAAAATTATCGAAAGGGACTAAAACAAAAAACAAACCAACAAATAAACAATCGCACAACGTAGTTCATTGATGCTGAACTTTCAAACTACAGATCTGTAGTTCCTTGCTGTTAGAATTTTCAGAGGAATTTGTTTTTCCTATATATAATAGAATATATAGCTACCAAAGACTACCAGAACAATAATGCACGGGCAGAACATGTTTAAGAAATAAAATAAGTAATACTGTATGCAGGAAAATTTTCGCCCCTTTTGCCCTCGTCACAAGGGGGTAAATTCAAATCGAGGCAAATTCAAAGAAAGCGGAGTTAACTCTTTGAAACAAAACTTTGTTTAGGTGAATTTAAATCGAGGCAAATTCAAAGAAAGCGGAGTTAACTCTTTGAAACAAATCTTTGTTTAGGTGAATTTAAACTGGTGCAAAATCCTTTGCAAGAGTAAATAATCACCTTCGTGTAATTTTTGTCCTTTTCGACCTCGTCGCAAATGGGCAAATTTAAAACGGAGAGAATTCAAAGAAAATAGAGTGAACTCTTTAAATAATACAACTGTGTCTTGGTGAATTCAAAACGGGGCAAAATTCTTTTGCACATATAAAAAGATGAAAATAGCACGTGACGAAACTATGTAGTAAATAATTCAAAAATTATTTAGAAAGAATGGCAAATAAGGCGAGCAAAATGCCTATTGTACGACAATTAAGAAAGTGAAAAAGAAAACCTAAATTATGACAAATTAAAGTTTTCTCTGATATTTCATTTTACATTAACGAATACTTTATGTAGAATCTCTACAAATCGCAAAATCTCACAAAGATTGAAAGTATTCGTCTATGAAAGAGCATACATACACGAAAGACAACAAAAATGATCGATTCTTTATATTACAACACAATTTTCCATATGAGTGGGTCTTTGTTCCATTTTTTTTGGGGGGGGATTATTCTCAAAGTATGCGTAAAATATAGTTTCTTCTGTCAACAAAAATGTGGAGCATAGACCCACTATACCTTAAAAATACACTTTTATGATACAACATTCGTATCTTTCCGAGAAATATTTGAAGTCCATTTAGTAAAGGTTCATATCACAAACATTTAAATGCCAATATTTGATAGGAGCGCTATAGCTTAGTGGTTATTGTTTTGGTCTCTAGGGAGAAATTGATAATCAGGATTTTTATTGCTTGGGTTCGAACCCAAAGAATATCACCTTTTTTAAAACTCAAAGAATAAATTTTGCCGAAAGACTATTATCTGCAGGGTTCTTAGCTCTTTTTGGCCAAACCCTACTAACATTTCATGAATATTCATAATCAATATTCAGCGAGCGTTTGTTTAAGGACACGTTAGTACATCAAGGTAAACGAGGGAGTGACACGTTGCAAAAGTTAAAAATATTTTAATCAGTTTTAATATATACACATGCGATTTAATTTTATGCTAAATGTTTTAATTATAACTAGTTTATAATTTATTATAAAATATTGGGAGATTTATAAATGTCCTCAACCAATCTTCGCCCCTTTAATTGCCATCAAAAGATACACTGAAGGTTTTAAATTATTATATCAATATCGCGTATACTAAACAAATTTTATGAAGTACCGGTAGTCGGGGTGCTTGTAAAATTGCAGTCTCTCTCTCTCTCTCGTAGATAGCTAGGACAGAGAGAAAATTTATATCTCAAATTCATAAGTATAGAGTATTCAATTTTTTTTAAATTGCAAGAATACTCAGTGTAACTTGCAATACCTAAAGAGGAGAAACTAGAAGACTTTAAATATTCTTTCAAATTCTCTGTTCTTAAGGCAATATTTATAACCTGTTTGCTTTGATGACATTCAATCTAAAGTCGCTCTGGTTCGGACCGACACAGAAATCGCGTAAACTTATTTCTTGCTAAATTTAAGACAAACTATTCAAATCGGGATACACGATGATTTCTACAATAAATTCTTGGATCCTATGATGTAGGGATTTATTACTCCTGTATTAATTCCACAGGGGTTACTTTGTTATACATTGTAAATTTAAAAAAAAAAATTCATGCTATCAATAAGCATATATACTTTTACGAGCATGAGAAGTAGGGCTCCGATATTTCGTATGAGTACTGCATGCTTGTCATAAGAGCTTTAATACCTCCGCAAACGAAGCTTTTTTTGGGGGGGGGGGCATAGGAATCACCTTGTCAGTCGGTCTAGCTGTCTGTCTGTCCGAGCAATCGTTTCCGGGCCATAACTTTGAATGGGTAAACATTTAAATCTCCTATATACTTGAAACAAAGATTGCGTATGACCTAATCACCTTGACCAAAGGTAATTCCAATAGTTCAAGTTAGCTGGCGGAAAAAGTGTAAATTCGTGCCCGGTCTATAACTTTCTATAATGGAGAAACATTGGAAGTCCATACCTCATGTACAAAGATTGCTGTTCAAAAAAACTTAAATTTCATGGCCACTTTAGTGAGGTCACTTTTAGTAAAATGAATAAATATTCCTGTGTAGACCATATTGTGTAAAGGAGAAGCATGGGAAGCCCATATAAGTACAAGGATCGCTTATGACATGAGGGTGTGTCTTGACCTTGACCAGGTCATTTCAGCAAGTTCAAGGTCATTGGCAGAAAAGTGTAAAATTTGTGTCCAGTTTATGATACTCTAACACAGAGAAACAGTGGAAGTTGATACTTGACACAAAGCTTAAGGGTGTGTCTCGATCTTGACCAAAGGTCAATTACAGAAGTTCAAGGTCACTGGCAGAAAAAAAGTAAAATTTGTGCCATAACTTTGTAAATGGAGAATCATTTGAATTTTCAATATATATTATAATTTTTCTAGACAAAAATTCTTTATTTTTATTTATTATTGTTTTTCCTATTATTTGGTAAATATTACATATTATTTAATTATTTTATTTTTATTTATTTATTGACTGTATATTTCACACGGATGAGATAAACTTGAATTTTCAATGTGTGACAAATGATAATAAATGAATAGCAGTTATAATTTTACATTCCACTTAAACGCTTTCCCTAAATTAGGAAATTACAGAAGTGATTTGCAGCATTTAGTAGATCCTGTATTATTTTTGGAAGAGCCACCTAGTGTCTCCACTCATGGTTATCGAACCATACGTAGGCACTAAAACATTAGCATTACGCGTGTTGAGATAAGCCGGAAGGTGGCAAAATGCTGCAGATCGGTGCAAAATTGTGCCTGGCTTTTGTATTTTTTCTGGGAATCAACGATGTTTCGTCAGAGACTGTTCAGGGGTCCATTCTGTTAAATAGTGGTGTCTTTGACAAGGTAATCAGCTGCAAGTAGTTGTGCACAACGTGCATATATTCGGCTTGTGTAATAATCATGAAGTATACTATTATAACATATAAAAGTCCACCTGAAACAAATTTGAAAAGTATATTTTTTAATCAAAAGAAACTGCTGTCATTGTTTTTGCCTACATCTGTTTTTTTCCTCCTGTGGAGTTAGTGTGACAAGGTAGATAACTCTAACCATATGATGGAAATCTTATTTGTGTAGTTGACTAGGTTGAGTGGGTGAGGGCTTGTCCCGAGACACAGTTAGATTATTCTAACTAGGTTGAGTGGACTGGGGGTGTCGGTCTGGGTGGCTCGGTAATTAGAGCACCTGACTAATAAAGCATGGATCTAGGGTTTGATTTCCATTTCTGCCAAAATTGTCTCCATTCCTGTTGCATTTAGTGCCATTTTCAATATATGGACTTGTTACTTGCAAGTTGCAGGTTATTCCGAAATATCTGACGTTTTCCTGGCTTTTTTCATGATTTGATATTTTATGTGCCAGGAAAACGTCAGAACCGGCGCCATTACGAAAACTGGAAATTTCGCCTTCTCCAACCAGAGTTGATTTTTGATACTGGCGAACCAAATTAAATGCCGAACTCACAATTTATCAATAGCACAATGCTTCTAGTACTCACCAATATCGATGAAAAGAAAACACCACTCCACATTTCGATACAGGACTTTAAAAATGTTAAAATGCACAAAATGAAAACAAATCTCGACAGACAGATAAAATGTTTTCATCGGATTGTATTTTTTATAAACAAAACATGAAAACGATGTTGATGAGTACTAAAAGTATTGTACTATTGATAAGATGTGAGTTTGACATTTAATTTGGATCGCAAGTATCGAAAATCAACCCGAGAATGCCGCTTCCGGTTGGAGGCAGCGAATTCCCAGTTTAAGTAATGGCGCCGGTTCTGACGTTTTCCTGGCACGTAAAATATCAAATCATGAAAAAAGCCAGGAAAATGTCAGATATTTCGGACTAGTTGCAGGTGAAAGTTCTGCAAAGGGCTAAAGAATATGGGTAGTGAGTCTCTAAGGCCTTAGGGTAAAGCCAATTTAGGGAGGGAGTAATATATTGGTTTTGGCTTTGTGGACTGTGTAAATCAGCCTAGCTAACTCAGTGGCAAGAGCACCTGACTACATCTTCCCTAGGCAAGGGTTTTTGGTCCACTAGCTCTGCTCCTCATAAGTCCAATGAGTGGACTGAAAACCCTTGGCTAGCAAAGATGACCTGACAAGTGATATTGGGACCCAGGCTCAATTCATGGTCCATGCAGCCGTAAATTTTCTCTGTTCCTGTTACATTTGTTAACTGGGGAAAGGAATTGTTTTATTAATTTCAATATCAGCCCATTTATCAATATTACAGGTACTCACAAAACAATATACATGTATATTGCAATTTTACAGATTATTGGTAAATTCAAGGCCGTATTGGTCAAGTTTGACGAGACCTATCCTTATGGAGACAAGCAGGACACATACAAGGCGGTGGTGGAGGCCACATTGTCACAGTCTGATATACTCTGTGCTGAAGTGCAAGTAGCAGGTAATGCTAAAATATCAGAAAATCAATGTAACATTATGTTCAAAGTGGTGGCAAGGATAACTGTCATTTGTCCCCGTAGTATAAATCACATGAGACAATTGTGCAAAGGAAAAGTGGACAATAGCTTGTAAAATTCACCAAAACTTATGTGTAAATCTGCACCAAGAATTAATGATTTATTTCAAAAACATTAATTAGATACTTGTCTTTTATTAAAAAGACACCCTCTGTTGTTGGAGCAAACATCTAGGTGCATGAAGAAGTACATGTATGGGCTACTGTATAAATGTATAATAATTATATATTACTATGGAAAATCAGAAGTTCTGAATATCACTGAAGGACTTTTATTATATTTTAAATTTTTTAAACTTGTTTCTCCAGTTTAATGAAGTGTATCTTAAATCATAAATGAGAATTAATTTTCTACTATACATGATGTATCCATCAAATTAACATATTGCAGTATGCAAGGTCAATAATTTGTTCATATATTTATGGGGATATCACTGCATATGTGACATTTTAAAATACCTGTCTCGTAGACATGTACAGTCAAACCTTGTTATCTCGAACTTAATGGGACTGAGAAAAAACTTTGAGATACCCAAGGGTTCGAGATATTGAGGGTAAAATACTTAAAGAAAAAGTGCTTTGGACTTCCAGATCACTTCGAAATATCCAGGGTAATTACGATATCTGTGTTAGAGATACAGAAGTTCAACTGTATATTCTATTTTATATGTAAAAAATTAAAAAAAAAAATATTAACATGGAAATTTCATTAATACCACATCTTCTATTTATTTAGATTATGGAGAGAAGGAAAATGCAGACATTGCTGAGAAATATGGAGCAAAGAAAGATGATTTTCCTGTGTACAAACTCTTTGTTGAGGGCAAAGAGGAACCCTTGACTTACAAAGGAGATGTTAAAAAAGCTGACGATATCAAAAAGTTTTTGATCAGAGAATCAGGTAAATCACATCATGATATACCAGATGAGAATTTATTCCTGCAAAAAAATAATTATAAAAATAAATGAAAAAAAAAGAGAGAAAAAACTTTACATTCATCACCTTGAGCTGATTTAATTCATAGAATAGGATTAAGGCCAGGTAGGCTGATTGTGGTGAAAGTATTTGAGAATCAACAATATGTAGGATTTTTTCCCTCCCAGAGAAAAATCTTTTTTTCTTCAGAGATCCTTAAATTTTTATCCATTGTGATGTGAATTTCTCAAACTGGAGTTTAAAAAAAATATTTATCAAATCCCCATCCTCCAAAGAAATTTTTTTATTAATCAGACTTTTTTAACATAGAGATATATAGTGTAAACACTTTAAACATACAAATCTTTCAAAAACATCCAGAGCTGCCAACTCTTACAACTTTGGCGTAAGTCTTCCGGTTTTCACGTCTAAAATACGCCTTACTATTTCTCTATTTATTCTTCTGATTCCTGTTTTTATCCATCAAAAGTTTAAAATGATGGCATTGTTACAGCTGTCCACCTTCTGACTTTTTCATTATTATAATAAAAAAGTCATAGTATTTACAGTGCTTCCTCGTATTGTCATTGTCCATTTTCTCAAGCAGTCAGGGGGCCTAGGCGGCCCCTGGTCCCCTCCTTACGATTTTTTATTCCATGTTGTTGGCAGTTCTGAACATAGGAGGCAATTTCTTTCATACTGTAAAGACAAATACAAATGTAGGTGTTTCTGACAATTTAAACACTTTACTAAAAAATAATCAAAGACAGACTGCAAAATACATGTACCTCAATTTATTCCATTCAGTAAGAAAAAAAAATGTACTCGTCTGAATAATCTCATGCATATGCACCTTATCCTTTGTAAATACATTAGTGAAAGTATACTTAAGTGACTTAGAGGTCCAGTGGGTTAGGTGTAGTTGTAAGTCAGATTAAAAAGAAATTAAATTGTATTCTATATGTACACGTCACTATAATAAAATATTTACTTACTTATACCTCAGTGGTGACTTACCGGTAATTAGATTGAAATCTCATGAAGCTTTATGAACTATAATTTTCATTTGTTCAGATAATAATGATTTATCATACCTTTCTGTAGGTTTGTGGCTTGGACTTCCAAGTTGTCTTGAAGACTTTGACAAACTGGTTGCAGAATTTCGCAAAACTCCAGATGAGAAAAAGGCAGATATTTTGACAAAAGCAGAAGAGTTAGCTGAAAAATATACCACAGAAAAAGATAAAAGAGCAGCAGAAATATATGTAAAAACCATGAAGAAGCTGCTAGAAACACCAGAATTTGTGGACACTGAAATTAAAAGGGTGGAAAAATTAAAAGATGGTAAAGTCAGTGATAAAAAGAAAGAACAACTTAATGACAGACTCAATATTTTAACTTCATTCCAAATGAGGCTAAAGGATGAACTTTGATTTTGTGAAGAAATTTTAAAAAATTTAAGTCATGCATTTAGAAATTCATTTACTCCAGATCATACTTGCAACAATCATGAATGTAAGCTGTAAAATGAGTTGTTCCCCTTTTTCAAATTTTCCAAGGTGTATGTACATGTATTTTGATTTTCTTTTCTACTTTTTTAAAAAAACAAAATATAAATCTCTAATATGTGGAAAATGTCTCTCATTTTATTTATGTTTCATATGGTGCTATGTTCTTTGAAGTGAAATGGAAATTGAAGTCATTTTCACATCTTTATGACTTATTTCAAGTGACCATATAATGTTTCTGGTGAAATACTAAATAAATTCTTTAAAAATTACAATTGTTGAATCTTTTATACTTAATCAAAGTAGATCACTTTTATATCACTTGACATTATCTCATCAATCAAACTACAAATACATCATGTACATTGCAATGCATAGCTACACGTGACATTATTATTAGTAAAAAGGCATTATTTTCCCCAAAAATAATTTTATGTCTGTGTTCATAGTGTTATTTTTAATATATTTTTTAATATGTTGAAGATATTTCCATTACCAATACATTGTTTTTTCAGAGGTTTTTAATTTGGATTTGTTTACTTGGAATATACCTTTGCTGATTTATGATGACCAAGCTGGAGACATTAAAAATGTTTATGAGGGTTTCAGCTCAATTTATATTTTACTTTCAAAAATGTACATTTCTGGCACTTTCATTTTTCTTCTTCTAGGTTGTTGTAAGACAGAACATGATGCCTTTTGTATAGACATCAATTTTTAGCTTACCTCAACGAAGATGGGGGAGCTTATGTAATAACGTCGGTGTCCCAGGTTAAGGTTTTTGGAGCAGTTTTCTTTTCAAGTACTTCTATGGCCTATATTAGTCAGAGATGCATGGAGGATTCTTCTAGTGTGTTTCATTGTACCAGTCAAGGTTTCAGATGCTGCAATTTCAGCTAAAGAATGACCAGGTTAATGTTTTTGGAGCAGGTTAAAGTTTTTGGAGCAGGTCTCATTTCCAAGTAACTATAAGCCCTATATTGACCAAACTTGCATGGATGATACATCTAAGGATGCACACTACTGAACTTGCTTCGGATGCTGGATCTGACCTATATTTTTCGGATGAGTGACCAGGTTAAAGTTTTTGGAGCAGATCTCATTTCCAAGTAACTAAAAGTCCTATATTGACCAAACTTGCATGGATGATACATTTAAGGATGCACACTACTGGACTTGCTTCGGATGCTGAATCTGACCTATATTTTCCGGATGAGTGACCAGGTTAAAGTTTTTTGGAGCAGATGTCATTTCCAAGTATCTATAAACCCTATATAGACCAAACTTGCATGGATGATACATCTAAGGATGTACACTAATGGACTTGCTTCGGATGCTGGATCTGACATATATTTTCTGGATGAGTATTTGGAGCAGATCTCATTTCCAAGTAACTATAAGACCTATATTGACTAAACTTGCATGGATGATACATCTAAGGATGCACACTACTGGACTTGCTTCGGATGCTAGATCTGACCTATATTTTCAGGATGAGTGACCAGGTTAAAGTTTTTGGAGCAGATGTCATTTCCAAGTAACTATAAACCCTATATTGACCAAACTTGCAAATACTGGACTTGCTTTGGATGCTGGATCTGACCTACATTTTCCGGATGAGTAACCAGATTAAAGTTTTTGGAGCAGATCTCATTTCCAAGTAACTATAAGGCCTATCTGAACCAAACTTGCATGGATGATGCATCAAGGGATGAACAATCTCAAAACTTGCTTCGGATTCTGGATTTGACTTACATTTTCTGGATGAGTGACTAGTTTTGAGTTTTCAGATAAGTCTATTCCAAAGTAACTGCAAGCCCTATCAGACCAAAATTGCATAAATGTTGCATCTAGGGATGCACACTCCTAGATTATTAGTTTAGTGTGGGACTTTGCCTTACTTAAAGACAACATTCGTTGAGGTGAGCTCTGTAATCTCTGATTACCTATGTTTATTTAAAAGGTTGCATATATCTTAGTTTATCACTGTAACATGTTTTTCTATAATAAATTCACCAACTCTTGTCCTTCTGTTCTTGAGAAGATTTCTAAAGATCCCCCCCCAACTATTCCCATATAAAACTTTCACCCAACCCTAACCCCTGGACCATGGTTTGACCAAAATTAGAAATCTACAATAGAGGATGCTAGCCTATAAACTACAATATCTTGATAAACGTTGACCCTGATGCTCTTGAAGAGAAAGTTTTTATGTATATATTGTACTATTTTATGAATTTTTCTTAAGTTCTTGAGATGACCAAAAAAAAAAAAAAAGAGGCCCACCATAATGTCTCATTTTTTTTATTATCTCTGTGTGAAAAATGAAAATAAAAATCCGTTCAACTGTAGACTTGTAATTAGAAGTTCATCTTTTGATTCACTCACATGGATGGCAAAAACCATTGTGATGCCACAACTGTTGATAAAAAAAAAAAAACAATGTCATGAGTTATACCCATCGTCTGTAAAAGGACGTAAAATGTGATAAACCAATATTTATATATTTTAATATTTATAGCTTTTGTATTCATCTGACTAATCATGCAAATGGAGTATTGTTTTAAATTAATAATAATAGTAATAATAAAAATTATTGATCCGCCCGTAATGTTTAAATATAAATCACTGCTTTCACTTTCGGCAAGTTCGGTCATGTTTCCCGCACCCTTATTAGCAGTTTTAATGAGATTAACGACAGTTCACAATGAAGAACACTAGCAATCATTTACCATATGGTCACAGTTTTTCGCATAATCAATTATATCAGCTTGTAATTAAAAATTAATTGGTGTAATTATCATCGAAACATGTGCTTGAAACCTAAACAATAACAAAGAAAGTACATCCCAAACGGTTGGATGACTTTTGCATGTGACTTTCCCTTCGTCCAATCACAAGTTACCTTTAATATGCTTATGGTAGAATGATAACGATTTCCGCTGGCTGTGGCAGGGAAACTGACAGATTCAAGGAGTTAATCTACAATAATAATGTTGTAGAATAAGGTTTTTGATTTCACTGTGTTTGATATTAAGAATGGCAGAATCTTTTTCGATTGAAGGTGCCCGTAGCGGCCAAATGCACTCTCTTCTTGGCGAGTTCAAGGGATTATATGAGGGACGTCTCAAACGACTTGATGAGACCGAAGTCAAAGGGGAAGATACACTAAAGGTATAATACAGATTAAAATCAATAATAATTCTTACTTGAAATACATTCAGCTCACAATAATTCTACTTGCAAAAACTCCAATATTCTTGAATGCATTGTTAGTCTACACATGCACGGTCATAAGGAATTTGACAGATTACAAGAGATTTTCTAATTTTCAGCTTCAACAGCAGATTGCTTGCGAGCTAGTAAATATCACCTATAATACAGATTTCATTTGTGGTTTTTTTCTTGCATTGACTAGACTATATATAAGAGAAGGCGATTCTGTGTTTTTTTTTTTTACTTAGCGGTCTATTCTTCATCCTGCATATAGTGTTGCAGAATAAAAAAATAGATTTATAGTGATCTAAACCAAATGTCCTCAAAATCTTAACACCCCCCCCCCCCCCGTCTTTGCTATGGTAGCACAAGGCTCATCTTTTCCTAATCTGCTACTTTATTGTAACCTTCTCCAATATTTTGCAGGCATACCAAAATGGACAAAAACAAAATCCCTGTTAACGCTTTCACCTGAACAAAATCTGAAGTAAATTTGTCTAAACATATGAATTTCTCATGTTTCCCATGTCATCATTTTAAAGAAAGTGGATGTTATAAACTGATTTTTTGTGATATTCTGATTTCATGATATTAGCATCATAGCACAAACAAAATTCTTTCAATCAAGGAGATATTTTTATTTTTATCATAAGATTATAGGTCTTATCAGTTTGTTGTCTGATTTTCTGTTGTTGTATATTTTTCTTAAAAGGAGAGAGAAGATATTTTGGTTTATGTATACTATTTAGCAGTATCTTTTATTCAGTTTGCAGATGTTGCGTGTAAAGCAATTAAAAAGAAATAGGTGTTAAGATTTAATTTCATATGATATTTATTCAATTAACAGTAAAGACATTTAAACCTTTGTTCATAGTCTTTGTATATTGAACCCCAAATAGTTCAGATGGATTTGGTAATTTGAAATTCTAATCTGTGATCATCACACAATTTGATGATTTTTAAAACCTATCGGTCTTCAGTTCGTATTACCCCCAATAGTAATATATCGACCAGATGAACTGTAAGCTTAATTTAAACCCATGCAGTCTTGCTGTTTTTGGATGGTTGAAAAAAATCTTGTATACAATAGACTGTGAAGAATGGTGATGTTGAAAGTTTAAAAGAAGAGATTTGAAAAGGATTTACATTCTAGTATGAATTAAATTGAATGACATGCATGCAGTCAAGAGATCTGAACGTATGACTGTAAAGTCATTGCAGAGATCCTGACAGCATTGTTGTAAACATTTCAATAGTGTGTCAAACAAAAAAATATCCCCTCAAAGCCACAATTTTTTTTTTTAAATATATGGTTGTATGTGATGTCTCTGACATACAATTTAGCTATTTTCTCCTTTAGAATTGCACTTAAATGGTTAAGAGAAGTTACAGGTAAATTTGTACTTGCCAACACTGGATTGTCCTGCTGATAGAAAGGTTTTGACTTGTATTTTTATGGAATACAATGTATTTACTCAAGAGAAGTCTTATTTGTTTGGAAGTCTTTTGTGTTAATGAAGATCTACAGGTGAAAACTCTATCTCGTAGGTATCAAAATGCAGTGACTTTCAAAGTTTTAGACTCATTCAAAACTGAAATTGTTTTAGATGATAGCTATCTATCTCATGGTTTGCATGTCTGTTCATTGAGAAGTTTTTAAATTGACTCCACAACTTTGATGTTTTAATGTGCCCATCTTGATGAGGGTTTCCTGTCCGCTAGTCTGACTGTTAGCTTTTTTGTGTCCATTGCAGGTTATATCTTGCAGTTAGAAAACTGTTGAAAAAAATTGTCTTCAGAAGTTTTGAAAGATATGTTTCCAATTGAATTAATTTAAAATTTAAGAATGGAAACTTAATACTGGCTAAATATAAAGAATTTTAATTCATCTTGTATTTTATGAATTTTAAGATGAAGACCTATTTCTGTTTGGAAGTAGAGGCCGCTAACTGCTTGGGTATTTTAATATTGTGCCATCAATAAACATATAAAGCATGATAAAAGATGTTTTATTTGATGTACTCCTATCTACCCATCAATATTGGTCCCTCCCAATCATAATTTTCAGTACTTTAATTTTTTTCTTTTTTTTTTTTGCTTCTGAGAAAATACAGATAATAAATGCTCTTAAACCTAAGTTCCTTTCATTTTTAGCTCACCTGAGCTGAAAGCTCAAGTGAGCTTTTCTGATCACCCGTTGTCCGTCGTCCTTTCGTCCGTCTGTCCGTCCGTCCGTCCGTCCGTCCGTCTGTAAACTTTTCACATTTTCAACTTCTTCTCAAGAACCACTGGGCCAATTTTAACCAAACTTGGTACAAAGTATCATTGGGGGAAGGGGAGTTTAAATTGTTAAAATAAAGGGCCAAGTCCCCTTACAAGGGTAGATAATCAAGAAAAGACAAAAATAGGGTGGGGTCATTAAAAAATCTTCTTCTCAAGAACCACTGGGCCAGAAAAGCTGAAACTTATGTGGAAGCATCATGGGATAGTGTAGATTCTAAAT